CTTCAAGAATGCTGCAATAAATTCCCTGAAAGACTGACTGCGGTCTTTCACCTTTTCATAGAAAGCAGTGGCTTACAGGCTAGAGAGGCAGGCAGTTCTCCTACAAGTGTCACAGGGTTGTAAACAAAAAAGGGACGGCAGCAAGGGAAGAGGGAGTGACAGCAACAGCAGAAATAAAGAGCAAGAGAGAAAGCAGAAGAAACGCATGAAGGAAAAGAGCAGAAGAATAATCATAAACAAGCAAACACTTTAAAGGAATAAACATCGCATTTGCACAGCAAAACCAAGTCCCAGGAAGAGCTTCTCAGAAGCATTCACTGCTTCCATTAAGAATTTTTCTTCTTATAAAACATCTTTTCATTGATTTCTTCCACCCCCACTCTAAAATACAAAAGAGCTATCAAGATGCAGTATTACCCTCAACACACGCACACTGCTGAATCTGCACTTTTGATGTACTACTCTTCATTAAGTTAAATGGGTTGGGGTTTTGGTTTTGGTTTCCTAAAATCTACCTCTTTTGTGCTAAATAAAATTTGGAAAAAATCCTGCCTAGATTAATAAAGATTTTAAAATATAAATATTTTATAATGCTTGGAGATTAAGATGTGAAGCAGACACAAACCCCTGCCTATAGATCCTTGAGATTATCTTGAGGAACCCCCAACTCCTGCTGGGTTGAGGATCTAATTCTATGTCTATGCTAATACTCTCCTGTACCTTCCAGGAAAAATCTGTTTTTACCATATGGTATCAGAGTTTAAAGGACACAATAAACCATTACATTGCGCTGTGGTTAGGGTTGCCAACTTTCTAATCACACAAAACCGAACACCCTTGCCCCGCCCCTGCCCCACCCCTTCTCCAAGTCCCCGCCCCTTGCTCACTCCATCCTCCCTTGCTCTTCCCACCGTCACTCACTTTCACTGGGATGGGGCAGGGGACTGGGGTGTGGGAGGGAGTGAGGACTCTGGCTGGTTGCGCAGGCTCTGGGGTGGGGCCAGGGATGAGGGGTTTGGGGTGTAAAAGGAGGCTCCGGGCTGGGGCAGGGGGTTGGGGTGTGGGAGAGGGTTCAGGGTGCAGGCTCCAGCCCCACAGCGCTTCCCTAAGGCGGCTCCCAGAAGCAGCCAGCATGTCCGGCTCCTAGGTGCAGGGGTGGCCAGGCAACTCTGCGCACTGCCCGCGTCAGTATGCACTGCCCACGCAGCTCCCATTGGCCACAGTTCCCAGCCAATGGGAGCTGTGGAGCCAGCACTCAGGGTGGGAGCAGCGCACAGAGCTCCGTCCCCTGTGCCTAGGAGCCAGGACATGCCGGATGCTTCTGGGAGCCGCATGGCGTCAGGGCCTGCCTTAGCCCTGCTGCGCTGCCAACCGGACTTTTAGCACCGTGGGTCCTTTTTCAGTTGGGTGTTCCAGTTGAAAACCAGACGCCTGGCAATCTTAACTGTAGAGTGGGGGTACAAATGTAGGAAAATACTTGAACCTGATTCCCAGTCAAACACACTGAGCATTTTCTTCAGTAGGCAAAACAAAAAATCCCTCAACATCCCAAAGCAGCATTTCTTTTCTCTGCCCCTAGAAACAGAATGACAACAAGGTAATTTTCTGCCAACTCTACATGTTTCAGACTCACTGCTTCCCCCCACCCCCACCCCCCAATGTCCAGCACCACAATTATTCATACATCTTGAATTTACATTCCACCAAAGTAGGGAACTTGGCAAGGATTCAAAGACAGACTTAACAAAAGGACTAAATATAGACAGTGTGTCTATCTGGGAGGAGGAAGAGCCCCGCAGCTGCAGGATGCATCTGTCTAGGACTGCACTAATTAGAAGGAAGCGTATACTTGCCTGGCTCTCTCATTGTGAGCTTGAGGAATCAACACAACTATGCCTCTGTTTGTTCTCTCCCTACCCCCCCAACTCCCCCCCCCCCACACACACACACACACTCACTTTTCTGGTGGTAAAAGTCTTTCCCAAATCTTTACCCTGACTGACTCTACGTGAAGATTCAGCCAAATGGTATCTTGAGGATTCTTCCACTGCAGGCAGGGCCGGATTTAGGGGCAGGCGACCCAGGCAATCGCCAAGAGTGCCGGGCTTGGGGAGTTCTGTAACGTATTCCAAGGTTTAACAAATGGGGTGGGGGTGGGGAGACTCTCCTCATCTGGGGCACCATTTGGTCTAGGGCTGCCCCTGACTACAGGAACCACTGTCTTCCCACCTTTCTTCTTCCCTTCTTCTGCCCCAAGCCCTCTCTCCAGAGATCTCTCTCACTTTGTCCAGGGAAGATATGCACCCAAACCACCATTCAGAGACCAACGTCAATCCCAACATGGATAGCCGCAGGCACTCTTGTAAACAGTAGCCAGCATTTGGTTCTCCTGTCCCAAGTACAATGCCTCCAACAAAGCATATAAACTCTACCGAATGGGAGATGTTCCAAACCAAACATGGTAAGTCATGCTATTGAGTCACCTGAACCAGTTCTGGGAGAAATGTACTAGCTAAGGTTTTGCTTTGTGAATAAAGCTACTACATTTACAGTAACCAAGAATATTTAATGAGGCTCCATTAGATTTCAGTCTTCGTACTGTGACATGACTACAAAAATGACAGAGTTGCTATGGATAGTGTATTTAGAGAGATTTGAATGATAAAAAATGACAGTGAATATGATTCTCTGCAAACAAAGGACTCGCAGCACTAACTGGTCCTAATCATGCCATAGGCAAGTACCATGCAAACTTTCCTTCACACAGCTTTGCCAGGGCTCCACATGATTTAGCGGCACCATTTCAGGAGGGCTTCAAAGGGGGATGCACTTGGAGAATGGGCTATTTTTGTACATTTTGGAAACAATTAGGCATGTTTCTTTTAAGTTTTTAGCTATTAACGTACTCTGGATTCAAATTAATGTTCTTTGTTCCCTATTTAGTACATTTTCATCTGTCCTGAACAGGAACTGCAAGAGCACTGAGAGAAGGATACAAAGGTTGCATGATTTCTGAATTCCCAGGTGCCCTTTTTTAGCTTCTTACCACAGTGCTACTCAGGGAGTCACAGCAGATATATCTGTCACAAACAGCACATTGGAGGGCTATCGTCCCTTTTTTCTCCTGAGGCAAAAGCACCTTAATTCCCTTGTCTGCTAACATAGTTGGTTCCACACATGGATAAATAGTGCCTGGGTAAGCCAGATTTTCATAGCCCATAGCCAGCATGACAATTCTAAACTTCAGAAGCACACTCTCTATCCCTCTTACTCCTGGGGGAATTCTATGCCACTGCGTATGCGCAGAATGTGTGTCCCCCGCAGATATCTTTGCTTCCCTTCAGAAAAATGACGTTCTGACAGGGAAGCAAAGGGAAGCCACAAGAGTGGTCATGCGACCCTCCGCAACGATAAGTTTCAGAGGCTCAGGGCAGCCAGCAGAGTGATAAGTAACTGTGAGGCAGCAGGCAGGACTGGGGAAGACCCGGCTGGTGGCTCCTACCCTGTGCCAGCTCAGCTGCTAGTCTTGGCTGGGCTGGGGAGGATGGGACTTGCTCTTCCCTTGCTGGGTCAGACCCACCCGCAGATTTCTCCCTCGGCTGAAGGAAGCTCTGCAAAGTCTTTCTACCCCCCACCCCTCGCTTCTTGCACCCATCGCTCCTCAGCTTCAGGGGGTGGGATCCCTGTGCAAGGAGCTGCTCCCCAATCCGACCAACCACTGTGCATCCAGGCCCGCTCATACCCAGACCGTCCCAATGAGCTTCACAACCCTGCACTCAGAACCGCCCCCTCCCAGTGAGCCCCACTTCCCATGCACTACGCCACCGAGCCACCCACACCCACACGCCACCAAGCCCCAACCAGTTGCATCTGGACCCTCCACTGAGTTCCCCACACCCATACCCCCTATGCCAAGCTCTATTCCCTCCCACACCCAGCCCCCCCCCCACTGAGCCCCAACCACCTTCACCTGGACCCCCCTGCAGAGGCCCATTACTATTGCACCCAGAACCCCCAAACAAGCCCCTGTACATCCAAATCCCACCCCCGCACCCGGATCCCCCACTGAGCTGCCTGCACCCAGATTGCCCCACACAGAAACCTCTCAACCCACACCTGAATCCTCCCCCCCCACTAAGCCCCTCCACACTTGGGTGCTGCCTTGTTGAGCCTGCCTGCCCACACCTGGCAAGGAGGGGCACAGCCCTGGAGTGTTTCTTGGGCAGGCCCGGTCCTTGCACTGTGTCAGGGTTGGGTGCAACCTCACTGCTGAGTCCATGTCCCAGGGGGAGCTGCACAGTGATCTTCCACCTCTGTGCAGCCAGTGGCCTGTGCTCCTCAATGTTATGCTGGAGCCTCCGCATTTATTTGACAAAACGTTTGCAGAATTTTAAAATATTGTGCACAACATTTTTAATTTTTTGGCGCAGCATGCCCTCAGGAGTATCCTCTGTAATGTCCAGCATGCATGAAATGTGCCTCCTACTTTTTTGGTGCTCTGGGAAGGTTCCCAAGTCTCCCATGCTAAGGCCAACCCTAAGTCCATTGAGGCTCATTTGCTGCCCTGGAGAAAACACTTTTCTTATCCATTTGGGTGGGTAGTAGAGAGACTAACTCAGGGGTCGGCAACCTTTCAGAAGTGGTGTGCCGAGTCTTCATTTATTCACTTTAATTTAAGGTGCGTGCCAATAATACATTTTAACGTTTTTTTAGATGGTCTCGCTCTATAAGTCTATATATTATATAACTAAACTATTGTCGTATGTAAACAAGGTTTTCAAAATGTTTAAGAAGCTTCATTTAAAGTTAAATTAAAATGCTGATCTTACACCACCAGGGTCCAGCAGACAGCAGCGTGCCATTAAAAATTGGCACACGTGCCATAGGTTGCCAACCCCTGGACTAACTGATTTTCAAATACTAAAGTTTTAAAATGCCTTTAGTTGTCATCTAGGTCTATAGGTAGAAAGTGAAATCCTGCTCACCTAAACTCATGTGACTAATCCCACCCAAGTCACTAGGACTACTGATGTGTGAGTATGGTGAGCAGGATTTGTGGAGTAAGAGGGGAATAAATGTTCAGCCAAAAGGAACCAATTTAGGGCATGGGGAACTTCATTCTGAGTATTTCCACTACACTTTCCTTGTCAGCTGCTGCCAGACACCATTTCCTAATTTAACCTGACTAGGAGCCGAGATCATAGGAGATAAAGTAGAGGGGGATGAGGTTTTGCAGTTCAAACAACTGTTAAACTAATCATACCAATAATATAACTTGTTTAGGATTTAATCAGCCTTTAATATCAGGGGATTTGGGATCTCTGAGCTCTAACCCATTTCTGCTCTTATATTTTACCTCCTCACTTTCTCCATCTATCACCCAAGCCAAACACCCTACACATTACAGACACATACCAACCAACCAAAGGTGGATCAACAAGCAAGACTGCCTCCCAGTGCTCTCAGCCTGACTGGCCGGAAAAAGCAGGGGACCTGTGGTAGTGTGACTGCTGGGCTGACTATAAATATCAGTTTAAAGCAGAAGCCCTTGATACAACATTTCCATATTTTGTACACTGGCTTTTCAGAAACCAAATCCCACACCTTGCATCCCCATGCAGATTTCTTGGTCTGACAGCAGATAAGCAACACAGTCTTAGCCCTGGTCTACACTACAAGTTTAGGTCGAATTTAGCAGCATTAGATCGATTTAACCCTGCACCCGTCCACACGACGAAGCCATTTTTGTCGACTTAAAGGGCTCTTAAAATCGATTTCTGTACTCCTCCCCGATGAGGGGATTAGCGCTGAAATCGACATTGCCGGGTCGAATTTGGGATAGTGTGGATGCAATTCAATGGTATTGGTCTCCAGGAGCTATCCCAGAGTGCTCCATTGTGACCGCTCTGGACAGCACTTTCAACTCAGATGCACTAACCAGGTACACAGGATAAGCACCAGGAATTTTTGAATTTCATTTCCTGTTTGGCCAGCGTGGCGAGCTCATCAGCACAGGTGACCATGTAGTCCCAGAATCGCAAAAGAGCTCCAGCACGGACTGAACGGGAGGTACTGGATCTGATCGCTGTATGGGGGACAAATCTGTGCTATCAGAACTCCGTTCCAAAAGACGCAATTCTAGTGGGTGCCCCTACCACTACCCCTAACCCATCTCTGTCCGTGGACACCTGCAAGGGGGGGGGAATCTCACACAACAGGCATGAGGATTTTGGGGATGAGGAAGATGAGGAGGAGGAGAGTGCACATCAGGCAAGCGGAGAAACCGTTCTCCCCGACAGCCAGGAACTGTTTATCACCCTGGAGCCAATACCCTCCCAAGGCGGGCTCCCGGACCATGAAGCTGGAGAAGGCACCTCTGGTGAGTGTACCTTTGTAAATATAAATACATGGTTTAAAAGCAAGTGTGTTTAATGATTAATTTGCCCAGAAGACGTGGGATGCATTTGCAGCCAGTACAGCTACTGAAAAGTCTGTTAACGTGTCTAGGGATGGAGCAGAAATCCTCCAGGGACATTATTAAGGGGACATTCAGAGGTGGCCATTCCTGCTGGGCTGTTTGCCTGTGGCTGAAAAGAAACCATCCCCACTTTTAGCCATGCGGTGGAGAGGGGGGGAACTGGTTCACGCTGAGCTGTTCACATTTGGCTGGCAGGGATCTTCCCTGTTACTAGTCACGCGGTGGGAGGAGGGGCGAAGCGATCATCCCAGAGAATGGGGGGGAGGGGTAAATTGGGTTTGTGTTGCGCATTAACCAGAAAACCGCAGCCCCTCGTTTTAAATGGCCAACCCAACTGGTGCTTGGTTTGGGAAAGGAGGGCGCTGCTGTTTGAAAGCATTCCCAGGTGTTATGAAGGCTGAAGAAGCCAAAAGACTGTGGTTTACCACAGCTGTCTGCAAGCCGAATTCTGTTGCCCGGCCCTGCGTGTGTGATCTCTCACACCAAACCAGCAGTCCTCAACATAAGAGGCAAAATGCGACCTTGTACCAAAAGCACGTGCTATTTAACGTTAACAGCTTGGTTCATCGTGAAAGAGTCTACCCACTGTTCTCTAGAATGTGTCTCTTTAAATACTACTTTCCCTTTTTTCCCCTCCCGCAGCTGCAAATGTTTCAACGCTCCCCCTATCATCTCCGTCCCAGAGGCTAGCGCAGATAAGAAGGCAAAAAAAACCGCACTCGTGATGAAATGTCCTGAGCTCATGCAGTCCTCCCGCACTGAAAGAGCTCAGCAGAATGCGTGGAGACAAACAATGGCAGAGTCCACAAAAGCAGAAAATGAACACGAGGACAGGAGGGACGAGCAAGGTGAGAGGTGGCGGCAGTGTGATAAGAGGAGGCAGGATGCAATGCTGAGGCTACTGGGGGATCAAACTGATATGCTCTGAGGTCTGATGGTGCTGCAGGAAAGGCAGCAGGAGCACAGACTGCTGCTACAGCCCCTGCGTAACCACCCGCCCTCCTCCCCAAGTTCCATAGCCTCCTCACCCAGATGCCCAAGAACGGGGGGGGAGGGAGAGGAGAGAAGAGAAGAGGGCTCCAGGCACCCAACCACTCCACCCCAGAGGACTGCCCAAGCAACAGAACGCTGGCATTCAATAAGTTTTGAAGTGCAGTGTGGCCTTGTCCTTCCCTCTTCCACCACCCTACCCAGTGCTTCCCTCCTCCCGCACCCCTCTCGGGCTACCTTGGCAGTTATCCCCCTATTTGTGTGACGAATTAATAAAGAATGCCATTGCAGCAAAGCCATCCACTATGACCTGCACATTTCCCAGAGTCACTACCCTTGAGAGCAGCAGCTCAGTGATTGCGTTGGCTACTTGCAGCACAGCAGCCCCCACAGTAGTTTTGCCCACTCCAAATTGATTCCCGACTGACCGGTAGCTGTCTGGCGTTGCAAGCTTCCAGAGGGCTATCGCCACTCGCTTGTGAACTGTGAGGGCTACTCTCATCTTGGTATTCTTGCACTTCAGGGCAGAGGAAAGCAAGTCACAAAGTTCCATGAAAGTGCCCTTATGCATGCAAAAGTTTCTCAGCCACTGGGAATCATTCCAGACCTGCAACACTTTGCAGTTCCACCAGTCTGTGCTTGTTTCCCGGGCCCAGAATCAGCGTTCCACGACATGAGCCTGCCCCACTGCCACCAGGATGGCCAAACTGCCAGGGCCCGTACTTTGAGAGACGTCTGTGTCCATGTCCTCATCACTCTCATCACCACACTGCCTTCGCCTCCTCGCCTGCTCTTACAGGTTCTGGTTCTACATATACTGCAGAATAATGCGCAAGGTGTTTACAATGCTCTTAACTGCCGCGGTGATCTAAGCAGGCTCCATGCTTCCCGTGGTATGGCATCTGCAGGACAGCAGAGTTGCAGCAGAGGCGGTGGCTGACGACGGATGCCACAAGAACAGATATTTATAGAGAATGACGAGAGGACCTGCGAGATGGATTCATGAAAGCAGGAGAGCAGAGTTGCAGCAGAAGCAGTGGATGATGACAGTTAGTACCGCGTACATTTCCCGAGGAAGAACACACATTCCCGGGAGCCCATAACAGACAACATGGAGAAATTCGCTATTGAGACAATAGCAGCATAGCAGAGTTGCAGCGGCAGTGGTGGATGACGACGGTTAGCAATCCTACTGCACCGTCTGCTGAAAGCAGTATGGCGTCCGCATGGAAAAAAGGCATGAAATGATTGTCTGCCGTTGCTTTCACGGAGGGACGGGCGACTGACGACATGTACCCAAAACCACCCGCGACAATGTTTTTGCCCCATCGGACATTGGGAGCTTAACCCAGAATTCCAATGGGCGGCAGAGACTTCCGGAACTGTGGGATAGCTACCCACAGTGCAACGCTCCGTAAGTCGATGCTAGCCACCGACTTAATGCGCTTAGTGTGGACGTACATAATCGACTGTATAAAATCGATTTATAAAAATCGATTTCTATAATATCGACCTAATTTCGTAGCGTAGACATACCCTTTGCTACAGAAGTAAAGGGAAAGCAATCTTTACATAGCAGTACTGCCCAGGGTTTAATCAGACACCTGACCCCACACAGGACAGAGTGCACACGCACAAGCCAATCAGTCAGCCAAGTATGGCTCTTACCCTGCTTAAAAGTGTTACACCAGGACTGGACTCTGTTATGTACATGTCTCAATGGCTTTGTCTGATGCTATTTGATTGTGCCAGATAGTTTAAAATTCATACCACAGACTGAGATTAAAAGGGACATTCTCAACTTGGGGGAGGGAGGGAGGGAATCGCATTTCTGCTTGGAAATGCTGTGCCTACAGAAGGCACAAACAACAACTGAGATTACTAGAACTTAAACTCAGAAACTAAACAAAAATACGTTTCTTTACTTTGTGTATCTGACAGCACTGTTCCTCTGCATTGTCAGTTTCTCCCTTGCTAAAGAGATTCTCAAACATCAACAAAGGAGCAAAAAACCTAATTAACAAAACTGTAAATGATTTTAAAATGATTTAAAATATATTAGAATGTCTACTTAGAGAGCAGGCAGAATTTTTTTTTTAATTAGTCAGTTTAAAAAAAAATGAATAGGCAGTGTCCCTTTGCAAGGGAATGGTATGGATAGTTTACATCTCCGTTCCAGGGAAGACAAATGAACTTGTGGGGTTGAGAAAGGGACATGTTCCTGGTTCACTACCGAGGTCACTGGCTTTGCATTGCAGATATATATACTATACCTATGTCTACAGATAAAAATTCAACAATGGTAAGTCTCCATATGTTTTATACAGTATCTCATTTCCATCTAACTGAATACTCAAAATATAATTATGCATCAGGTTGTCAGCGTCAGAGGCATACATTTCTTTAGATGCATTACATACAGAGCCATGAAGTACCGAACTTTTAGACTTTACTCTGAAGGGCTCTCTTATTTCACAGATGGGCAACCTCCCAAAACCACCAAGAACAGTCTAGTAGTTAAGGGGCATTTTTGACCAAATATTTTAAACTCTCATCTATCTACAGATGTACTGTAGCAAGTCTTCAAGACCCTTGGTAAATGGAACAACCAGTCCCCATAAAGGAATAGTCAGCATTGCTCCTAATTGTTATGTATGGCAAGTTGTTATTCAGGACATTGTGGAAAAGGCAGACTCTCTCCTACCTACTTTCTAACTCCAGGTAAAGCACCTCATGCAGTTCATTTACAAAGTACTTCTCCACCACCTTTATAGACTATGCCACTACATACCAACAGTAAGATGGAGTCCTCAGCTTCTGAGGCAAAGAGAGGAGAGATCTCTCACGGCTCTAACTCTGCCTACCAGCATCCACCTCTCCCCCTTCCCACCTCTCCATTTGCACTTCCTTCCTGTGCCTTTTGTACCATCTGGGCTAATGAGTTAGTTAGCCCTTTAACTCTCCCACTCCATTCCAGTTCTATCACTTGGGAGAAGATCCCGTACAGAGGTGTGCTCTGATGCAACTAATTGGAGTTGCAGTGATCAGACTGCTGGCTGAGCTGCTGTTGCCCACCACTGTCACAGGCCGCAAGGCTCATTTACTCAGTCTGGGATTGGCACAAACACTACAGTGGTGAGGCCCTTAGAATTCCTATAAAGAAACAAATGCCCTCCATGAAAAGCATGGTGTACGGTATCATACAACGAAACTTTAGCTCTTCATTCCTACTCCACTGACATCTCCATCTGTACTGTATATAAAGCACTAGTCTGACCCACTTGCATATGGCACCAGACTAGCACATTAAAAACTTATTACATAGAAAGTTAAATTATTCAAACGCACAATTCTTAATGAGGGGATGATGTTCAAGCAACGTTGAATTTCATTGTTTTTTTTCCTGCTATTTCTTATAAACAGCTCTCACAGTCCTAACTTGCGGCGCTTCCTGCCACTGCACGCAGCAGTGTCAATGCACTTCATCCTTAATCTACAACACCCACAGATATTCTAGTCCCACTTTTCTCCTGAACAGAGACTAGCAACGTGCATTAGTGTGTGTCAAGTATGTTGATGTGGCCACGCATACACAGAGGGATACTGCAAGTTTTCTCTTTTCCTGTGACACTTCCAAACCTGGAATCACAGCTCTTTTCCCAACCCTGTGCATAGTTCAAAACAACAGCGATACCGTAGAACCTCCGAGTTATGGACACTGCGGGAATGGAGTTTGGGCTCCAGCTGACATGCCAGGACAGGATTCAGCCGCAGCATGAGTTTGCAAGCTTGTCTCCCTCCCAGCAGAGGGGGGAGGAGGGGTAAAAACAGCATGTCCTCCCCCCGGCGGGAGGGGTGAAAGCTGCGCAGACCCCAGAGCTGCTCCTGCGCTGTTGTCTCCGGCTGCCTTGGGCTGGCAGCCCCAGCATCTTGCTGTAAGTGGCTGCCCTGTGAATGGGAGTGGGGACAGGCAGCCCAGATGTGCCTATCTTTAAGGCACAATACAGGCCCAGTACAGTACTTGCCTCTTTTTTTTGGATCTCTGTTGCTGCCTGATTGGTTACTTCTGGTTTCACATGGCGTCTGGTTGATCGATCAGTCCATAACTCTGGGGTTTGTATCTTTGAGATTCTACTGTATTTTAATTCCTGGCATCATCACTTAGGGCTTGATACTACAAGGTGCTGAGTATTTCTGGCCCCAATCCAGCAGAGCAAATAAGCACCAGCAGTCCCACTGAAGTCAACAGGACTACCCACGTGCTTAAGTGGATCAAGGCGGGAGTGGTCATCACCTCACATGATGAAGCCTTTCGTCTGTTTAGAAATAGGACAGATAGTTCAATGCTTTGTGGCATACAGCTTGACTACAGGTATTTGTAGGGAAATAGAAAAAAAGGTTTACAGAATCCAGTCTAATTATCTTGGTGATGATAAATATAAAAATAATATACAGCACTTTAGTGTTTTATGTTTCCCATGTGCTCTATAAACACTAACCAGTTAATCCACACAACACCCAATGTACATAAGTAGGTAGGTAGTTAGGTAAATAATCATCTCTGTTTTACAAATAGAGAGACAGGGATTATGTGACTTGCTCAAAGATGCAGAGTTGGGCACAGATCTTGCAAGAATCGGATTGAAGAACTGGTTCCTAAATGAACAGTGGAACTGGATTAGAAATAAATTCATTATTTTCAACAAATTTAGAAAAAAATCATTTTAAATAGTGTTAAAATGTAATAAAAATAAAAATTAATTAGGTTGGGTTGAAATTTAAGTGCCCAATCCCCCCCTCCCCAAATCAGTTATTTATATCATTGATTATGTTTTCTCAAGTTTATCCTATGTCAATCAGGTCACATCACAATACCAGCAAAATGAAAATAAAGGTAAGTATTTTTTTTTTAAAAATCAGGGTTCCTGATTCCTACTTTATGCTAAGTCCACCAAATCATGCTGCTGGAATGGTAAACCCTGAACATTTATATTCTCTATATTCACCAAAACATTAGTAAAAATCAAAGGCTTAATTCACCTACCAGGGTTTCTTCCAAAGCTCTAAAAGTTTGGTAGAGAATGGATGAAAAGAGGCGCTATCTGTCCCTCCTAGTATTTTTAATTTAAGATAAAACCAAAGCACAAAGGCCCTGATTCAGATTTACAGTAAGGCCCCTTTACTCCACACTGGCAGTAGTAAATGAGAATCAGGCCCACAGTTTGCAATGTATCACTCTTTAAGGTTTTCTAAACTTTTCCCCTTTTGGAGGTCAGCCTATTAAAGAGAAAACAAGCACTAGTCTCAGCAGATACTCTTCTCTTAGTAAGACAGAAAATAAATAAATACCCAAGCAGGAAGTGCTGGCCTACCTTGACAGGAAGTGATCACACAAATGGACAAAGACATTTTCTGTCCGAGGGCAATATGTTAATTGAGAGGCACACATCTGCTTGCGAACTGGGCCATTGGAATAAATGGAATGGGAAATGTGTGGCAGTAAAAACGGAAATATGTTATTGTGGAAGACAGTAGCAGTCAGAGGATTGAACCTGGAAGGAAGTGACTTAATCAAGCATTCTGTCCTCTGTTATTTCCCACTGAACATCCTGTGCATCCTATGCACGCCTCTTTCACCCTGTTTCACAAAGCAACAGCCTCTTAAAATCTACAGGTTTCAGAGTAGCAGCTGTGTTAGTCTGTATTCGCAAAAAGAAAAGGAAGACTTGTGGCACCTTAGAGACTAACAAATTTCTTTGAGCATAAGCTTTCGTGAGCTACAGCTCATTTCATCGGATGCAGTGTATCCTATTTCCAGCAGAGGGGATCTGGATGGCTCCTTATCTTTGCATTCCCAGCCATCACACTGTACTTCTTGTTTTGAACAGTGTTAAGCAAACAGCTTGTAAATGTGTGATAGGGTAAGATCAGTGAGCTAGAGTAGGGGAGGGACCAAAAACAGCAGGATCCTGCTCTCTTTAATTGCAGCTATTAACAATTGCTAGACCTGCTCCCTTCATTATACCACAGAATCCCTTTAATAGTAAACTAAAACAAAACACACCCAGATCTGATACCTTGTGCATTATATTCTTCCCATGCCACCATAAATAAAGATCCCTTGGTGGACATGCTGCCCGCATCTTTCTCTGCAGAAGGTTGTGGTAGATTAAAGAAAAGAGTCAGGAAAGAGCAATTAAATGAGACTAAGACACCTCAGTTATTTCTCCTCTGTGCGTACGTGGCTCCAGGATTATAAAAAGGGAAAATGGATGGTTGAGGAGACTTGTTATAGGATACAGAGCCCTTTATCTCTAGTTTCAGAGTAACAGCCGTGTTAGTCTATCTTTGCAAAAAGAAAAGGAGTACTTGTGGCACCTTAGAGACTAACCAATTTATTTGAGCATGAGCTTTCGTGAGCTACAGCTCACTTCATCGGATGCATACCGTGGAAACTGCAGAAGACATTATATACATGAGGAAATGTTCACAGAGACCATGAGGACAGTGGGATGGGAGGGGGTATTGTTTCATGGTCTCTGTGTGTATATAATGTCTTCTGCAGTTTCCACGGTATGCATCCGATGAAGTGAGCTGTAGCTCACGAAAGCTCATGCTCAAATAAATTGGTTAGTCTCTAAGATGCCACAAGTACTCCTTTTCTTTATCTCTAGAACACTGTATCAGTAATGAGAGAAAGTAGCTGGCATCTTACACCCTGTGACTTAGGTGAAATGAGTTGATGGTTTCAGCCCGGTGGTTTCTAGTGGGTTGATGGCCACATTATAAAAGATCACCTCAGTCAGTACCAGCTGGCACTTTAGGATGGCAACTTCTGCCAAGAGTCTGAGAAGTGAATGAAAACAGAGTGAATTCTCCTACAGCCACTCAATGCAATCCCTCCACATCAGGACCAACGTACACTGATAGGACGATGTAAGGGAAGAAGGCACTGTCCCTATTGTGTTTGTCCTGTGGCTAAGGTTCACCAAAGCTATCAGCGTGGCTCCTTTCACCAGCACTAACTTCTCAACTTTAACCATTTCAATGATGATAGAAACCTCAAGGAACATTATAGCAGTGGCAATAAGCTTTGTAAAAGTGGGAAAGGGAAGGGACAGAACATTAAGCATGCAGCCCTTAAGAGGAAAACAGGAAGATGGAAAGGCCTTTTTTCCCCTAAGTCAGTGCACTAACCCTTGATAGCCCTGGAGTTAAGGCAGATCAGAGCCAAGAGACATCCTGTGCAGCAGGACAGCTGTAGTATTCTCTAGTACCGTTTGCTACCAGATCACTTCAGACCGGAATACTTCAGGTCTGCGTGCATTTCCTACACAGAGAACATTCAGCACTTTGCTTGATTTGAAGTTAGTTTAAGA